GTTAATCTTTTTTTTCAGAAGGTTTCACTCATGTGCGGTGTGATAATCAATGCAATATGAAAGTTGTGATCCTTGGCATGAACGGGAAAGCAAAGTTTTTGAATAGCTTCAAAAGTGGAGCGCTTTCTTCATTAGCCATTTCTCTCTCTTAATTATTCACAATAGTATTTAATCTTAGAGTACAATAGCTGGAGTACCTTCGGTCTATCTTTGTAATGGGATTGCTGTTGTTTATCGAGAAGGACTCATTAACTTTGATGATTCCACTAATATTATGGCACTTTGACAATACCTCAGATTTATGATTCAGGTAAAATACATAAATGAAGTGCAGGTGCTGAAGCAGAAAGAATAAGTTGTTACTGAACTTTAATTACTTGAATTGCATAAGTAGGAGAGAATTAAGGGGTATGCAGAATTTACATCAGTTGGAAGTAATCTTGGGAGGAAGATAAAGAAAAGCTACTTAAATTGAAAAAAGGCAATTTTAATTGCAATGGATTTATGGTCTAAATCTAATAGAATGGCACTGTTTTTAAAAAATTCTTTATTAAGTGTATTTGTATTAGTTTGTCAACACTTTTTGTTAAAAGTCTATTGATATAATGGATTTTTCTTCAAAGTATCTTTTATTTAAATTGTATGGCCTCTACCAATGACAGACTAGCTTTGATGCCATTGGTTGATCTGTTTTGACTGCCAAAGGTTGCATTAACTAGCACTTGAATTGAGAACCTTAAAGTTACTGGAACGGTGTCTTAAGACGACACAGGAAACTCTAAGAAAGAGTAATTGTTTTTCAGAACACAAACTCCTCTAGATCAGAGTATAGCAACTGGAATTGCAAACATGCTTTTTAAAGAGATTAGTGAAATGCAAACTGTACAAATTAGATACAAACATCTTGTTCCTTTTGTGGCAAAATTAATCTCGTTAGAGGAAAATAAAATAAAAATTAAGCGTGAAAGTGATCTTTTGTAAAGATGCAACACTTCATAGAGCCATACCTACCAAACATTTCTCTTGCATTCCAAGAAATAAGATAGTGCTTTGTGGAAAATATTTTATTATTAGACTTCTATGCTACCCATCTCTCTGAGGCTATTCTAGGTGGCTTACAGTCAACAATTAAAATGACACACATAACATTGGAACATTAAAATATGCATTTTTGGGCTCTACTTCTGGGAGATACTCCATGTACATTTGAGTTGCCATCAGTTCATGTGGCCAATTTTTCATGTTCCAATTGACTTTATTCTTGGGGAACATCAGGTAATTTTGAATCAGTATAATAGTATCCTAAATAAAGGATATGCAAAACAGATATATGAAACAGAAAGTTACCCTCTCACTCTCCCAAGTCTTACAACTCTTTGTGTATATTTCTTTCTCTCTGTCCAAATTCACTAATAGTAATAGTCTGTTAGGGTAAAAATGTTTAATGGAGGAAAACCCAAATTGATAGATCTCTAGCTACAGTGGTGTTTGAGAATTTGGTCATAATTTAGAACTGTGTGTTAATTTCTTGGCTGCAAAAACCAGAGCCACCTCTTCCTCCAAAAAGGAAATTAGAATCTCAGATCTTTGATTCATTTTAATAAAAAAGACATTGTCAAGCATAAATCTCTCAGCAATAGCCAAGGCCCTAAAGCAGCCAGGAGAAAAAAATATATCAATACTTTGCAAAGAAGGGAATGATTGTTCCAATTCGCTTGATTGACTTTTTGACTTAATGAAAAACACTCCAGTAGAGTTTGTAAACACGTTTGCTCATGAGATTGCTGAAATCCTATGCCACAAACTAGAAATCAGAGGCCTATTCCCTATTATATTACATTGACATCATTGAATGAAAGAGTCATGATTGAGCAGGTTTTCACAGCTCCCAACTGTAGGTATTTCCTTAATGAAGACTTCAGAAAATATCCAGAGTGATGAGATTGAATCTAACGGATCACGAGCAGAGGGAAAAATAACTGTTAGCGCTGCTTGTCAATCATCAAAGGCCTGAAGAGTTCTACAACAAAGGTTTCTGTAGATGTGGCACAAAACATCTCTGTAGTGTTTTTTTTGTAGTGTAAATAACTGTTGACTTAAAGAACACCTTAGGATCTGACTCTCTAGGTACAAGCAACTAGACCCACTCTTGAAGAGTTCAAGTAGGAACTCTTACCTAGATATCTTCTCATACTAATGGTTTGGATCTGGGTAAAACTACATAAAGTTCATTAACACTTAAGAGGGGTCAGACTTCACCCTCCCTTGTAGGGATTCCAGACTAATTCCTTGTTTGATTCTTCCCCTTGGCTTGGCCAGTATCTCTCTTACAAGCTCATAGAATGGCAAGTCACTAAGCTGGGATACTTAATCTTCTCCTGTGGTCCATCTACCTAGATATGTGATAAAGCCTACACCCACTTACCTTTGTCTATTTGTGGAATCCATGCATTTGTAACTCACTTGTATTAAACTGCTTATGTCGTTTAAATAACTTCCTCACTTATTCAGGGAAATCAAGTCTGTGGAATGGTGAGCATGCTGCAAACAATGTTTTTTTTTTTTTGGTAGAAATAAAATCAAGATAAATTGTGTCCCCAAACCAGCTGTGCAGCTGGTGAAGAATATGGGATGTATGTATCCCGTTAAAAGTTATACAATGAAAATGGATAAAATATTCCCCTGGAGGAGCAGCGGATATCTGCAGCATGGTACTTTCAATATCCTGTGATTTTAGATATATGTCCCATTGCATTCTTTGCTGGTTACAATCATGCATGATGAAGTGCATGAATAAACTGCAATTAGCTAATAAAACCACTAACAAAAGTATGGCTAGACAACACCAGGCAAGCAAGTACCAGTCAGTCTTTCTCTCCACTTCTTATAATCAGGGGTGGGCTTCAAAAATATCAACAACTGGTTGTCTGCCCGGTTGCTGGGTGGGCATGGTCATGGTGAGTGTGGCCTAGTCGGCCTCCTGCACCACAGTGGGTGGGCCGTTTTTGCCCTTCCCAGGCTCCGGAGGAGCCTCTAGGAGGGCAAAAACTGTCATGTCCCTGTTGGAGTCTGAATCTGAGGAGGAAGACGAACAGCTGACAGGGAGTGGGGGTGTGGGTCCATTGGCTGTGGAGGAAACTGGGGAAGGGCAAAGTCTGGCTGGGCAGAGCAGGGCAGAGGTAGAACAAGGGAGAGGGATTGCAGAGGAAGACCCAGGCTCACCCCCTCTTCGTCCTAGGGCACGCAGGGAGGTACAGAGAAGAGAGCAACATGGGTTGCATGCCTTATGGGGGAGGAAAGGGCCCTGATTCCCTTCATTAGCCACGACTGGGAATAAGAATTTAAAAGAGATGCATGCTGAGTATGACAGCTGCTGGGAGCAAATGTGAGTTTATGTTGTATTGACTTTGGTTATCTGTGTTCCTGGTGTCTTCACAACCGTGTTGAGTTATTGCCATGCCTTCACTTCTGTAATTCTTGCTCCTTCCCTGCCAGACTAATTACCTCATTTTACCTTGATTGGACTTATACAGTAGTTACAGGTTTTGTTGACCACACTTTGGACTTGATTCTCTGCAGCCAAAGGCTGTTCCTGGGAGAGTTTTTCTCCAGCCCAGAAGGTAACCAGGACACTGGGGGCAAAGTTGGAGCTAATAAAGGTACTCCTAGTGATTATCTGACTGTGTTGCCTTTGTGCCATGCCCCAGGTCATCACAAATGTCTTCCATGGGCTCTGGAGGCCTTCCGGGAGGACAATTTTTCTCCCTCCCCGAGCCTCCGCACAGGTCCTGTACTTACCTGGCATCCAAAACAGGCCACGTGGGAATGGGGCAGGGTGGGTGTGGCCAACCAGGGGTGGGATTTGCGGGTTCGCCGAACCGCGCAGAATCTTAGAGGATCACCCGAACCCATGCAAACCCACAGCAGCCCACCCCTGCTTACAATCCTTTATAGGATAAAAGCAGTGGGGAAGATTGGCTCTGTCTTTAGATAGAGGATCATCAACCAACAATAGCAATATTTTCTTCGTGTGGTATTTGGTTTATTCTTCATTCCTTCAACCAGTCCTCCTTGATAGAGAATGCAAATCATTTTCAGTGCACAAAAAACACCACCTCCTTCCGTTTGCTTTCGTACATGAGAAAAGCGTATACAATTGAGATAGTCCTCAACTTACAACTATTTGTTTAGTAACCAAACAGAATTGAAGAAAGTGACTTAAAACCAGTCCTCACATTTATGACTGTTGCAGCATTCCCCCATGGTCACATGATCAAAATTCAGGTGCTTGGCGATCAACATGTATCTTTATACTGGTTGCAGAATCCGGGGTCATATGATGTCCATTTGTGATCAGTTGGCCTCTAAGATGCAAAATCAATGGGGGGGGGGAAGAAGCCAGATTCATTTAACGACTGCAATGATCTGCTTGGCAAAAGTCACAAAATTGGGCATAACTCCGTTCTTAGCTACCTTGCTTAGCAGCAAAAATTGTGACCTCATGACTTGCTTGTCTTTCCATGCCTTGAGTGGCAAAATATTATTCCGACCTCAGAGACTTTTTTGTATGAAATTTGTTACTATAGTATTGCATCCAATGATTCTGCAGCAAAGAAATCTGTCCAGGTTTAAAATAAAATGATAGGTAAATGCAACAAATAGCATAAGGCATCATTCCCCTCCCCCACCTTCTCCCCCTCCCAATTTTGGTCTTATTGCTATAATATTTCCATCGGCATTTGGACACCCGAAACATTCGTCTGAGTGATTTATCTAAGGAAATGCATGCGTTTAAAAGGTAAATGTGAATTAAAACAATTTAACAGCTTCCCAAACTTCGATGAACTATTGAGGTACGTGTTTTTCTCCTTGTACGATAAACATATGGTATGAATTTGCTTGCTCTCATTACAGATGCGGAGAGAAGGGGAAGGCAAATATTTATAGTTGTGCTCGTGTTTTACAGTAAAAACACTGCTCAATTTGTTTATACAGTTCCACTGTTACAGTTTTTATGGCTGGTGGTGAAACCACTGTAAAATAAGAGTCTGGATTATATAGCAGATGTGGTGAGCTTCTTCTACGCCAATAGAACAAGCGGCCCATCATTGAATTGTGGATATCTTTTATATTAAATCAATGTTCTGAGAAGGGCTGAACTATTTCATACCTTTGTCTTCGTATGTCTTTAGACATGCACCATCATGACAATCTACCTGTGGATTAAGGGCTCAAATAAACGTAGCTAATTTCTTAAAAGTACAAGTAGTCGCTGATTTAGCACTGCAGTTGAGACCAGAGTTTTGGTTGCTAAGCAAGACAGTTGTTAAGTGAGTTGTGGTTGTTAAGTGAATCTGATTTCCCCCAACTTGGCTGAGGAGATTGTAATGTCAGGGCTCCGGCATCCACTTAAATCATGAGTCTCTAGCCACATCTCTCAAGAGTTCAAAGAAGATTTATTTGGAGTGAACATGCTGGTGCTACCTGGGTGTAGCCGACTCTGAGACAAATCATTCATTTCACCCTTGACCCTGGTCTTTCCCCCCACCCCCGGGATGTATATTCTCCAATGGGACATATCCATAGTCAAGAGTCATCTATCATGCTCTCCAGTAATAATCTTGCGCGGCAGAAGCTTCAGCCGCCTAGAAATTACCTATGAAAGCATTTAAGGAATGCACTACTTCCCCCACTCCCTTTCTGCTGGCAACTCTAAAAGACCAGAGGAATATTTTCGAGTTGACATGTAAATGGAGATGATATGACCCTTGGATATTACAGTTGTCAAAAACACTTGCTGGTTACCAGTGCCTAAATTTTGATCATGTGACCATGGGCAACAGTTGTAAGTGTGAGGACTGGCCATATGTCTTCTTTTTTTTCAGCGCCATTGCAACTTTAAACAATCTCTAAACCAGGGGTATCAAAGTGGCAGCCCGCGGGCTGGATGCCTCACATGCAGGCCACGCCCACCCTGACTCCGCAAAGGCAAAAAAGGTCACAATATGAATCACATGACGTGATCGAGTTTGTCACCCATGCTCTAAACCAATGGTTGTGAGTTGAGTTTTACCTATAATTAGGTACCATACTTTCTACCATAGTTCCCTCAGGAAAGCGGAAGATTTGATGGATTTATTTCAGAAGGTTCTGACCGACCAACTTAAATGGGTACTTCAATTTTCTCCCATTTGGTTTTCATACAGTTGCCATGACTTCCCTGTGAAATCAAGTGATTTCATTCACTGCGAAAAATAGGACCGAGACTGATTTGCAGATCCATATTTTGAAATCATGGGGCTTCAGCATTTGTGTGGGAATAAAATGGTTAAAATGTTTTTCTAAACTTACCAATGAAGATGCTCTTTTTAGGTTTAATCTCTAACCTATGGTGAACATTCATTTAAAGTCGGTCTTTGAAACAAAACTTAGATCTACAGGTAATACAAAGCCAAAATGTTCCTTATTTATTTGGGGCTTAGCATATTATATGGAGTCATCTTTTATTAGCATAATGTATAAGCCAGGCCAATATAGACAAACTCAGTAACCTTTTTGGTAAATCTGGCTTGCCATTGTGAAAATATAACCAGTGCAAACATTCTTTAGGAGTGTCAAGGAAAAGCTATGGTGAGATGACCACTATAGACGGGGTTGGACTAGAAGACTTCCAAGGACCCTTCCAACTCATTCTGTGTTCTATGTATTAGGAACAGAAGACTGGTTTTTAGAGTCTGAAGCCTGTAGTTTTACGTGATTCAAATTTTTGTAGAAATACGTTTATGTCTCTAGCTCTGTTCACTTTCTATAACCATTCTCTTCCTGAATCTTGAATTAATGTTGAGGTTTTGTAATAGTTTGAGTAATAAATTGCCACTACAGTAAATTCTATTAATGTAAAAGGTCAACGTAGCTTATGGTAAATACTTTACTGAGTGTTTATAGTACACTTCATACTTTACATGATTCCCTTTCTAATTCTGCTTATCTTTTCATTCCAATTCCCTAAAGGATATATAAAAGAACCCCTAAAGAGAGTAATTACTGCTCTACTTCTTAACCAACCCTCCTTCCACCCTAAGAAATCTGAGCTGTTTTTTAACGAAGGCAGTTTTAAATAAAAATGCAAATGGGCTGCTTTGTAACCACATTATTTACTCACCTAGCCTCTTATTACCATGTTTGTATTGTCGGCAAACACTATTTACAGTCTTGTAGAAATTAACATTATTGGTCCTGAGGAAAGATTGTTAAGGAAAGGCTGTGCTTTGGAACCAATTAGGATGAACGCAGCCTCCATTATGGCTCTTGGGAGATCATACAAGCTTTGCATTGTCAAATAATAACATTAGCCTGGAATGTGCCAACAGATCCACTATAATTATATCATTGGCCTTATTTTGCTTCTGCAGAAATTTCCATTGTTTGCATTTAGCAACTATGCAGAAGAAGTTCCAGGGAGCATCTTATTAATGCTGTGATTATTTTCCAGTAGCAAATCATGGAGGAGGAGGGGGAAAAAAAAGTACTTGGATCCATTTGGTTCAGATTAATATTTTTTGAGTCTTTGAAACTCATGGATTTATATGGACTTGAAAAAAAAGGAATTAACAATCAACAGAATTAAAAGAACCTTCAAGTCAAATTCGACTTCTGATAATCATGAAATTTTCTGGGTGGCAATCTGGTTTGGCAGATATTCTTCAGGGATGTCCCTATCCCTTCTCAATCTAGGCTGCAGTTCTGATGTCCTTGATGCTTCGCCATCCAAGAGCTAACCAGGTTTGACCCTTATTAATTTTCAAGGACAGACAAGATTGGCCAGCAGCTGTTTCTTGCACCTTCTTGTGGTGAAAGCTTTGAAATCTGACACGATAACAATTTTCTTTTTTCTTTTTGTATGGTTTCTGCTATTTATTAAAATGGGTTAAGCTTCCATAGTTTGACAAGTCAGCCCAACAGCTAGATTCATTTTCCATTAAAACATGCACCTGAATTTATATCCTCCTTGTATATAAAAATAACTAATTTGAATATATTCTATAGTTTTCGTAATCTGGTAATAAAAAAAAAAGAACCTTGAGACATTCAGCCTCAAGTTAATCACAAGTAAATATTGACAAGTTGCTGAGTCTTTCCGGAATTGGATTTTCATTGTAAAATGGGAATAATAGCAGTGTATTTCATGCAGGTCAATGATATGAATCAGTGCTACTTTTAGGGAGTATCTTTATTATAATGATGGATGGATGGATAGATAGATTGATTAGTCTTATGAACATATACATACATAAATTAACAATAAAATCTGGTGACAAATAAGACAAGTGCAAGAGGAAGTCAGTTTCTTTCTTTCTTTCTTTCTTTCTTTCTTTCTTTCTTTCTTTCTTTTCTTTTCTTTTCTTTTCTTTTCTTTTCTTTTCTTTTCTTTTCTTTTCTTTTCTTTTCTTTTCTTTTCTTTTCTTCCTTCCTTCCTTCCTTCCTCCCTCCCTCCCTCCTTTCTTCCTTCCTTTCCTTCCTTCCTTCCTTCCTTCCTTCCTTCCTTCCTTCCTTCCTTCCTTCCTTCCTTCCTTCCTTCCTTCCTTCCTTCCTTCCTTCCTTCCTTCCTTCCTGTATCTGGCAAAGTATTAAATGGGGCCAGATTGATGTTATTTGTGTGGTGGGAGATATGACTATCCATTCGTAATAAACTGTGCAAATACAAAGATCTTTACATTTTCTTTTATTTTGTCCTGCTTTATGTCTGGGTGGAAGCATTTCACATACCTGTGTTACTGATTGTACTATAGGGGGAAAGTGTATATTGCTTCTGAAGGCAGAGCCCTATCCTATTAAAAATTTATTTGGGCTTCAGAGGTGATTTGCCACCTGAGCACTTTGGGTCATGAAAGTGTTGGGAATCTTAACACACAAAGGAGACAGGGACATTTGGAGAAAACCAGAGTGAGCAGTGATCTGTGTACTTCTGCAATTCTTTATCCTCAAGACGTATTTATAAGGAATATTAGATTAGAAATGCAATCTAAATTGTTCCCGTTTTTGTATGAGGCCTCTATTAATCTAACCTAGTTAAGGATTCTCAGTGCATCATTTTTGTGGGAACAGTTTTATTACTTGGCATAT